CGGTGGGCCCTCCTCTTGCAGGGAAGTTAAAGATTAGGAAGATGGCGGCGTTGAGACAAGGAGATTATTATTCTTATTATCATCTTCATCATCATCCTCGTACCTCCCTCAACTACGTGATCAAAAGAGCAGTGCCAAAAGGACCTGATCCTATTCATAACAGGTGCGCTCCATCTCCCCTTTTTTTAAAGAAAAACTTTATCAATTTTTCATTTCATGCACTTCAAGAAAAGTTTCGAAAAGTAAAAGAATGTAGGGTTTGAATCAATTAAGATTAGAGATAAACTAGCATCACTCTCGTGCGTTGCACGGGTCATACTTAGCATCACTCCCTTCGTCCCTGAAACATCTCCCCCTTTCATACCTTACCTATCACATCATATCTTTTTACTAATAATCTATCTATCACATCTTTACTTTTATCAATCACATCAAGGGTATTTTTGGAAAGTCAACACCAAATATCCCTCCCTTAATTTTCCAAAAAATCAATAAGGGAACTTCTTTTGAGACGGAGGGAGTAGAATATAAAGATTTTATTATTTTAAGGTACAAAAATTAATTGTTTTACAAATAACGAAATACTTCTTTATAAGCTATATTACTCGTAGTAATTTTTATATATCAAACTTATAAAACACTTATTTATTTAAAGACTTCTTCATGATTTTCTACATTACTCGTATAATTTTTAAATATCAAACTTTTTATATATTAAACTTTTAAAACATTTATTTATTTAAAGACTTCTTTAGTGATTGAGAATGACTGCATTTAAAGTATGAAAAAAATTAAAGTATTTTTCTATTTCCATGTATCTAATTTTTTTCGGGTAAGTCATTAATCAATGGTTGATTGTTCAACATATAAAGGTATATATTATTTAATACGTTTCCATGTATTAAAGGCACACCTCTTAAAAAGATGTCTCCATAAAACATTTGGGCCTGAATCTCTAAATGGAAACATTATTAAATTGAAAGCTTATTGGTTAGAATTATTACATGATAATAATAACTAAGTACGATAATATTCTTACACGATATATTATATTATTATTAATCTTTCATGACAATAAATTAATAATGGTTAAATACATTAATATTATTGCACGGTATATTTGTATTATTATTTTTTCTACACGGTAATACATGATTTATTCTTGCTACAAAGTAATTTATGATTTAATTATTATTTCTATATTCAATTTTTCTATATTTCAATTTTTCATTTCCTGCAGTTCAAGAAAAGTTTCAAAAAGTAAAAGAATGTAGGGTTTGAATCAATTAAGATTAGAGATAAATTGTACTCTCCCCGTCTCATAAAACCCTTGCCCTTTCGTTTTTTTCTAATTCTCTAAAAATTTTCACTTTCTATTAAAAAAGCATTTTTACTCTTATTTTTTCATACCCTATCTATCACATCATACTTTTTCATTAATAACCAAACTATCACATCTTATTTTTACCCATCACATCAGGGGCAAAATCGGAAAATCAACCAAAATTACACTTTTCTTATTTTTGCCAAAGTCAAAATGGGAAGAGTTTAAAGAAACGGAAGGAGTATAAACCATCTCATTATTTAAAAAAAGAGATTAAATAAAGTGTTATAAGGGATACTCCATCTGTTCTAAAAAAGAATTTCTTTCTTGACCAAGTCTAAAAATAATGAAGTGGGATATATGTTATTAGAGTAAAAATATGATATGATAGGTAAGGTATGAAAAAATGAAAGAGAAAGTACTTCCGAGAACAGAGTGTTGCACATTTCAAGGGCTTATATCAAAGTCATAATAATCTCTCTAGTTCACAAATTTGAATTTTATTATCACCTAGTTTTAAAAAATTAAAACTTATGCAAAGATTAGACAAAAAACAAATATTACATATACATTAGAGTTAGACTTTGAGTTGAAGTCTTTGTTTTGATATGATCAAAGTCTTCGATAGATTCAAGAAAATTTGTTTAGTGAGTAAATAATTTCTGTCGAACATTCTAAATTGAAATTTTTCTTTTATTTTAGGACAGAGGGAGTATTTTTCCCTTAAGAGTCCGTTTTGTATACGAAACTGATGGAATTGACATTGAATTGGAATTGATTTAGATGGAATTGAATTCTCCAATAATTCGCATTCATTTTTGGCATTCCTAACTCGAAATTCACATATTTTGTGCTACCGAACAGCAACAGTGGTACTATTGTACTCAATTCCAATTCTTTAATTTGAATTCCGTGTACCAAACGGATTCTAAGTTTATAACCATTCTTATATCATGGTTCTACAGGAAATCCCCACCAGGTCAACCATGAGTCGATATATGGATCGGGTGAAGTCCCGTTTGGGGCGGAACATCTAAGATTTGGGATCTAAGCCAAGCTGGTGTGGCATGAAGCTGCAGTGTCACAGTTACTAATTTAATTTTAATTTTTGTTAGTATTTTAATGAAATAAAATGTATTTCACACCATGTATATTTTTGTCACATGTTACTTCGTAGATTTTTGTGTAGATTTTAAATATGTAGTTTATACCTTTAATTAATTGTATACCGATTTGTAAAAAATAACTTTTTAAAAAGATGTGATTTTGCATCTTGCACCAAGTAAGACGGTAATGTTGAGACTTGAGACGGGGTGAGTACAATATATGAACACATTTATGGTTGTATTCTGGAGTAATGTATCTCTAGTCGCCCGTTTTTTCTCATTATAAAATCTTTTGATGTAGTATTTTAATATTCCGTATATAATTTTATTTTTTTAATTTTACACCATTTTTCAAATAAAATATTATGAAAATAATTTCAGTCAAACATCGTAAACCGAAACAATCAATATAAATTGGAAGAGATGGAGTATCTTATTTCAAAATAATTTTATACTCTGTAGTATACAAATATAATTATCTGAACTATTTTTATGTTACAATTTTAGGCGGATTACAACCAACGGTTCCATAAACAAAAATAAAATAATAAGATCGAAATTTATAATATTTTTTGGATAAAATAAAAAATATTGAAAATTATAATAAAATGCAAAGACTACAACATATGACCTTCGTGAGATGACTTCAATATATCAGGTAGTGTATGCACTAGAAACAAGGAGAATATAACACTCCAACTCGCATTTCTCGTTTATCATGAATTAGTAGGTGGAGTTGCTACTTCATTGGTACCTTTATAAAAAAACAGATAATATAAGATAATCTTTGACAACGAGTAACATTTTAATTTATTTCTTGTAATTCAATTTCGAAAATTGAATACTTGATTTTTAAATTACAAGAGGAGGCATATGGATTGATTGCAATTGAACGTTCTTATGAATTAGAGAAATTTATTTCATATCTAGTTTTTATTAAGATTCTCGAATATGGAATTTGAGCTAAATCCAGTTTTGAGACCCAAATTCAAGCGGACAAACATGACATAAAATCATTTAAATAAATATTTATGAGAGTAATTAAAAGTTAAAACAATGTGAAAGTTAAATTGTAATAATTCAAACTAGTTTGGGTTCAAGCCCAGAAAGATAATTCGTACGGAGTACAATTTTTTCAAATTGGTACATATTTATTTGTTTCATAATATTATTAAATATATCTAAAAGAATTATTTTAAAACTCAAAAATAACAATTCTTTAAATAGCTTTAATATATTTATTATATTTTGGTATTTTTATTATTTTTTAGTGCAAAGTACAAGCGAAAATATGAATTTAAATATTTTAAAACTAAAGTTTATAACTCGTTCGATCGACTCGAAGTCTGGTTCATGAATTTGAACTCAAGTTCAATCAAATTATTGAGTGACCATCCATGGTTGTTTTCAATGAAATTCTTGTCCCGAGCTTTGTAAAGTTTGACCGTGGCGTAGAATTGAAGTCTAGAACAAAAATACTACGAGGGTGTTTGGGAGTGATTAACTTATGGACAAAGTGATTTCCACAAAAGCTAAAAGCAGAAGCACCTCATATCTGCTTCTCCGAAACAGTGTTCTATGTACAAAATAGTGGTAGTGAAAAGCAGAAGCTGACATGCCAAACAAAGTAAAATCACTTCTATTCAAAGTAGAAGCTAAATTATTAAAAGCAGCACACTGCCAAACACCTTCTACGTAGTGTTACTTAATTTTCTTTTATAACAATATTGAAAACTACGACAAAATGAGATTTTGTAGTATGAATCAGTAATTCTTGACAGATTCGATTTGAATGGGTAAATAATTACTCTCTAATTTCTCTATGTCCCAATTTTGTTCTTTTTATGAGTGTATCTTAAAATTCACGGTCTTTTGACATTGGAACTCTACGCCACATCATAACATTGGGTTCATTTGACACGCATACGATGCTCCGTTCTATTCCAAAGTGGTTCCTATCCCCTACCCCTATAAACCCACTCCGTATATCCCGACCCCACCCCGAACCCCCAAATTTTGTGACATTCTCGTAAAAAAAAATCTTTTGGAAACAGTTTCTCTACTTTTTAGTACACACCGTCCCTAGACCCTTCTTTCGTGGGATTGAAGTAGGTTGTTGTTTTGGTGAAAAAAAATATGTCAACAAAATTTGGGGGACCGAGGTGGGGGGGCAAAAGTCATGCTTGGGTGAGAATTTATAAGGGGGTAGGGGAGTAGGAAACACTTTGGGGTCAAACACAGCACTGTAGGAATGACAAATGGATTCAATGTCGTAATATGACAATAGGGAGTATAGGTACCAATGTCAAAGAAACTCCCCAAATAACAACATTCCCGCCGCAAATTAGTTGGTACCAGAATATCGCACAATCATACAACTTAAAATTAACGTAATAAAACGTGACACACACACAGACACAAGCCTTTAGATTGAAGTTAAGTGCAAATTCGTGTAAGACGCTCAAGTCTTTACATGGAGAACACATTTGGACTGTACTCAATTTCTTTGATCTGTATCGTTTTCTCACAGATAGTTTTGTTTTACAAATAAATGCATATGCAGTCAGCATAAAGATGTCATGAGTGTATTCACGGTTCACTGATGCACAAAAGTTAAGGAATGGAAGTGTGAATCAGAAACATCAAGCACACAATACCTGCCAGTTGCCGTTTGATGCAACAAGTTTTAAACAAAAGGGAGGTCAATGAACTAAATAATACACAGTATGATACAGCCGTAGTAATAATACACCGATTTTCAGAAGCAAATGAGACTAATGAGAGCGTACCAGAGAAAACAAACACGTGGTCGTGGCTACATTTTCATATGTATTTGGCATACAGTTCTGATGACTAAACAGGGCTGGTAGTTTCTTGTTCATTGAGAATAAGTGGGAATTCATCATATTGATCCGACGACCCATGATGAGCAGCCATTTTCTTCAATGCTTCATATACCTGATGCATTGTCCACCTCTCTTTGGGTTGAGAAACCACACAATTGCGTGCTATTCTGATGAACTGCACAATCTCCTCATCATTCCCCTTCCCACACATGTTCTTATCGATGGCATCTTTTACACGACCCGACCCAGACAGCCGGTTCACCCATTCCACGAGATTTCCTTTGAATCCTCCTTCGTCAGCATTGACTTCAAGTGGTTTTTGCCCTGTGGCCAACTCCAAAAGCACCACCCCAAAGCTGTAAGCATCTCCTTTTGTTGAAGGTACCATTGTGCTTGCGTACTCTGGTGCCACATACCCAAACTCGCCAGCATTTCCATTCACAAAGCTAGTCTGGTTCGCATCAGAAGGTGCTGACATAATCCGAGCCAGTCCGAAATCCATTATCCTAGCATCAAAATCCTCATCCAGAAGAATAACATGAGAACTGAAATTCTGGTGTATGATTGGAGGTTGACACCCGTAATGTAGCCAAGCGAGTCCCCTAGATGCACCTAAACCGATTTTAAACCTGGCTGGCCAATCTAGCATGCTTGGATTTCCATGTAACACTGAAAACAAAGTCCCGTTTGAGAGGTTCTTATAGACCAAAAGCTTCTCTTCTTCAATAGCACAAAACCCTAAAAGTGGGACCAAGTTTGGATGCCTGAGTTGCCCTAACCTATTCATCTCCACCCGAAACTGCTTCTCGCCCATCTTGCAATAACTAAGCCGTTTGATTGCAAGAACAGAACCATCACGAAGAACGGCTTTGTAGGTCGTACCAGTCTTGATCGAGTTCAAGATATTCTCAGTACTGAAAGTGTTGGTTCCAGCTAACAAATCAACCAACTTAAGCTTGACGAGTGGTTTCTGGAACAGCACAACTTGGGCAAGCTTGTGATCTCGGAATATCCCAACCCAACTATAACCTCTCTTCTTCATGTTGGGTGATCTCGTGAAATACCAATACCACAAACCAAAACCTAACAACATAGATGCAGCAGCACCAAACACTCCGGCAGCAATTATTATAGCTAAATTTTTCTTGCTCAATCCCCCACATTTCCCTGCCGGACCACCGCAGAGATCAGTTCCCCCAAAATCAAAGCCGGAAGGGGATCCGTCAAAAGAAGACGGGAGTCTGCCGGAGAGAGCATTGTCCGCCACAGAAAATTTCTTGAGCCTGGCCAAACTAGAGAGCTCAGAGGGAATGTTTCCGGTCAACTTGTTATCATTAAGGATTAGATCATTCAAATACTGGCACTTAACGAGATCCGAGGGGATTGACCCGGTCAAATCATTGTTTGACAAATCTAGGGTTACTAAATAAGGCAACCAACGGCAAATCTGGGATGGAATGGTACCGGAAAGTCCATTACCGGAGAGATCGAGGTTCTGCAAGTTGCTACAGTCCTGCAAGGCGCCGGGAACCGCGCCGCCGAGGTTCATATCCTGAAGCGACAAGGTGTGCACGCGATTCTCGTTCTCGTTCCAGCACGTGACGCCCGTGAACTTGCAGATGAACCCCGGCGTCGTGTTGTTGAAGTTCCACAGTGCCAGGCTCCGGGTCGGATCCTTGAACGAGCTTTTCACGCCTCGCAAACACTTAGCATCGTCTTCAGCTCCTCCGATTCTAAACAGCACCAGAAGGATCGCCAAGCTACAAATCGGAAATCGAATCATCTTAAAGGTGTTCTGTAATTGACTCCAAGAGATTCGATGCTTCCACTAAAGATTTCCGGCACAGAGTTGAACAGATTCAACAGAATGATGCAGGGCTTGAAGAGGAATAGTGAAAATGTGGAAAGTTGAATGACGGCCTGACTAGTAGTGGGACTAGTGGAAAATTGAAAAATGGAAATACTTCTCCTTCCCAAATTATTTGTCATATTTCTATTATCGAGGTAAAATATTAAATTTTTTCAATTCATTTTATTTATATATTGGTAAAGAAATAAAAAATAAAAATAATATATCAAAAAACTACATGAAAAGTTCTTCGAAATAAGAGGTGTCAAGAATATTTTGTTTTATCAAATAACCAATGAAAATGTAGAATTAAACAAAATTTCCCGCGACTGTTGAAAAAGCATATGTGACAAATAATTTGGGACGAAGGAAGTATAAAATTGCCCTGACATCAAAATTTTGATCGCAAATTGGTGACATGAAGTGTAGTTGGTGTAGCATTCATGTCTTTACTAATTGCGCAACGCTCACCGGTGAATTCGCAATTTTATTCACCATGTCATCCTACATTCCAAAGATTTTTTTCTCCATATTTTTCTTTTCCCATTTTTATTTGAATGGTGTTTTGTTTTTGAAAGCAAGAGATCATTTCAAAAATTGTTAGGGCATTGGAAATACCCATGAAGCCCCGAGGCTTCAAAATGGGACTTCAAAACTTCTCTTTCTGTCACGTCAACTTTAACTTACCTCACAATTTCAGTGGAAATGAGTTTGAAGCCTCGAGGCTTCAAACGGGGGCTTCAAACCTTCATTTTTTACATTTTAAATACACATCTTCTAAAATTAAATTAATTAAATTTAAATATTTAATTACTTAAAAGAATTGAAAAGAAAATAGTTCATTAAAAATTTGCATTCATTATAAAAAATTACATTAATTAAATAAAAAAATTACATTCATTAAATAAAAAAAATTACATTCATTAAATAAAAAATTACATTCACGAAAAAATTAAAAAAATTCTTGAATAATAATTTTTTAAAAAAAGATGATAGATAGAGAGAAAATTTGTATTTGTGATGAATTTCTTTTTTAAAAATAAATTAATTATAGAGAAGAAAAAAGGAAACAAGAGGGAGAAAAAAGAAGAAAAAGGCGTGATAACAGCTCCAAATTGCGTCAAAACTTTGACGCGGGAGTTTTAACGCCCCGATAACAGGGGAGGGGCGGTGTTTAATGCCCGCCAAGCGTCAAACGGAGCATAACGTGGGTGGGCGTTATGCCCATTGCCACTGCTCTTATCACAAAGCACCATTATAGAGTATTCTGTATTTAAAAAAATGCTACTCTTGTATAGTGGTATTACCCGACCGGACAATGTTAATCGAGAGAATTAGATATATCCTTATAATGTGCAAAAATCTCACTTGATATGGTCGTCGTTTTCGCAATTGAATGATCATAATTCAAATTCAAGTTAATCCTTATTGTACCAGGTGGCTATGCCCTCGGACATCATTGTTCATTGTGCGTCAGAAAGTAAATGTTCAGAAGTACATGATTAGGAATTGTATACTCCATAATAATTATTGACATGAAGATTTCCTAAAACTCATAAATCTATAGTTATACAAGACCAATGAACTCATATATGCACATATGAAAATATAATTACACCAAGATATTATAAAATGATACTCGGGTATAAAACAATAAAAACAAAATTTAACTAAGCATCATAATAAAAGGACAAGATTAAACGAGAAAAAAATATAACTTCACTGTTCCGCAACACATTTTCTATTTTGACTTTTATGATGAGAAACTTTAGAAGTTTGATCAAGGTAAAAACGATGACAGTTATTGGAATGACTAGGGTTTGGGAAATGTCAAAATGGATATGACTTTTAAGATAACTGGGTAGGTTAGGTTAGATTTGTAAAAAATAACTACGCTTATATCTATTTAAGTTAAATGAAAAAGTTTTCTGGAACAAGTAAAATGTATAAGTGGAATTATCTTGTGTAACAAAACGGCTATTGTTTTGTTTAGAGACAAGAATAGAAAGATGAAGTATTATGCCCTTCACCGGTTGAATCCCCACTATCTAAAATTTGGAGAGGATGGATATAAAAAATGATTATACAATGTAAATTGGGCTTTGGCATGATCAATGGCACGACATTAGATCGCTATAGACCCAGCATGCATTGACTACATACAGGGGCGGAGGAGGGGGGGGGCATGCCCGGGCAATTGCCCCCCCAGCGAAATTCCGGCAATGGAGGGTTAGATACCCAATCGTGATGGTGGCCGGATTTGCCCCCCCAATTTTCGCAGCGATGGGAGCCGCCGAGCCGGCTGCGGATCGAAAAACAGCAGAGGAAGAAGAAGCTGATTCCCGAAGAAAAAAAACAGACAAAACGACGTCGTTTTGTCTGTTGGGTTTTAAATAATTTCCTTGACCAGCCCACTTTCACACGGCCCAGTAGCCCACCCAATTGCCCAAAAAAGAGAAAATACGGAGTAAGTCATTCAAAAGGAGGCAGAACACAAAAAAAAACAAAGTGAACAGAACCGACGAAGCCACGAAGGGAAACGCAGATTGCAGAAGGAATCCCCAATCCGCCACTGGAGTCTGGAAGAAGACCGACCGCCTCACCGACGGACAGCTTTTTGAATTCTTCCAATTTTGAGGCTTCTTCATCTAATCTTCGGATCTTCTCTTGTCTAGGTAAATTTAAATTTTAATTATCTAATTTTGAGATTTGTTTCTTAATTTTTTAAATTTTTGAATATTGCTAAATTATGTTTCGGATTTTGAATATTTATTTTGTTCCATGGTTCTAGTGTGTTTGTTTAAATATTTGATAAATGTTAATGTAATTTCAAGTTTTAGAAATTAAGAAATATGAAATTGTTCTTTTAAGGTTATTGATATTATTTTGTTACTTTATTTTTGAATCAGGAAATTTTGAGACATGAGATGGATAAATTTGTTATTAGACAAAAGAAGAATTTAGAATTTGTAAGTGAGAGAGACAATGAAAAAGAAGCTTCTTCTTCTATAGAGACAATGGATTTTGTTTATTTTTTAAATGAAATTTTGCCCCCCCATGAAGTCTTTCCTGGCTCCGCCACTGACTACATAACTAGTTGATCTCGCCCGTGTAATGAGATGATAGATGATGTATCACTAACGAGTTGAGTTCTTGATGAAGGCAAACACTATTCTAGTCTTCTAGACAAAGCCGAGTTTATAGTTGGTTAGGCCGAGCGCGTGGATGCCGAGATCGGGTTCAAGAAGCTTGGGCTCTTGTCTTCGATCCTTGGTTGTTCGGTTGGCTTCCAGGCCTACTATAAGCCTATAAGTTACAAGCTTAGATTCCAAGCCATGAGTATGTTTTGAAAAAATAATTTTTTTGACCATTTGAAATGTTAAGCCATGTTCACTTCAACTTATTTTTATTATTTTTTATTAGAATCAGTTCAAATTAGATCAGATCAAAACTTATTCTTAGCATTAAATATAACTATATTTAATTAGAACAGAACCATTTGCATTGGGTGAAAAGAACCTGATCTTATTCTTTTTTATAAAAATAATATGTATTCAAGGTGCATAATTGTTTAATTTTTAATAGAGACTCGTTTATACGACATTGAACATCAATGTCATAGGATGACCCGAGAATCTTACAGTGCTTCGTGCGAAAACTTTGATGGTTCCTATCTTTTAACTCCTATACAAAACCTGAATACTATAATATTAATGTTCAATGTTCAATGTCAGAGTCTCGGGTTATGCTATAATATCAATGTTCAATGTCACACGAACCGCCCTGTATCAATGGACTCTCACTTCTTGGGGTTTTTAGATGGGCCTTCTTGGGGTTTTATGTCATCAAAATCAAATCCCTCGAGCCTTGCCTTGAAAAGCATTGCAAGTGTTGGGCCAAAGTTGGAATCCGGAAAATGCGCACAGTGAGTAAACAAATATGAAAAAAAAGCCCAAATGAGATTTCAAAACTCAAGTCTCCCGTAGTAAAACTGCGTCTTAAATCTCTTCCTTCTCTCCTTCAAGAAGCCATTTGAGTTCGTTTTGTTCTCACCTCTTCCCCCACTTTACCTCTCTTCCTCTCCAACCGGTGGCTCTGTGTTCTCTGTTTTTTTTATATATGTCTTGCTCTCCTCCAACGTTGCGAAGTGAATACTTTGATTGAGGAAGATTGTTTCATTCTCGTTTGATCATAAAACGATTCAACTTGTTTTTTTTGTTTTGCTTTCCGCGGTGGTTAGATCTGCAGAGCGCTAGTTTTACTTCTCTGGTGAGCAATCAATTTGTTAGTCTTGTTGATTGTTCGTCTCCTGGAGGCGTTTTGTGATTTTCTGGTGCTTATGTTTTGGTTTTGTTTGTGCAGGCATGAAGCGATTGCGGGATGATAGTTATAGCAACCCCCAATTTAAGCGGCCCCTCGGCTCTTTACGTGGAGAATCGTAAGCTCTTGAATCGCATGTTGTGTTCTGATAAATTTTGGACCTTTTTGACATTTGAGATTGTGCTGTTGTCTGTCAGTGGTTTTTAGTTTCAATGTTTTTGATGAAAAAAAATTGTATTTAGGGGTGTTGATGGGGGGATGAAATAAACTGATTTTTGAAGGGAGAAGTGAGTTGATGATGACTGCGTTTGATTGTGCTGTGGTTTATGGTTTTTAAATTTTTGTGATCAGACGTTGTTAGATGCTGTGAAGTTCTTGTGGATTTGTGTGGATGCAGATTAATCATAGGATCTTTATGGATTGCGTGGATCTTTTTTCGCACTATACATATGTTATTGTTCGGTTTTATAATTTTCATGGAATTTCTGGAGAAACATTATTGGTTTCAATAGCATTTTGATTTGTGTTTCAGATCCATGAACAAAAAAACGTATGGCATTAGAAACCCATCTTAGCATGCAGTAGGAATGAATTAAAATAATGTTGAACGAACTCTATTATCCGGCAGCGGCTCTGGAGATAAGGGAAATAAATGAACTTTTCTATATGAAATAGATCAACTTTGTTGAGGTGCAACAAAGATATCATTTTAGTAATAAATTTTTATTCTTTCCTCCTGATCAAGATGTGGACAATCACAAGCCCCTGGAAGTGGCGGTGGTGGTGGAGCCGGAGGAAGCAATGGAGGTGGCATTGGTGGTAGTGCTAGTACCCAGA